AAAGCTGACTGAAGTTCTTAAGAAAGGAATGGGCTGAATCATTGGCTCTGGGGAAGACGTGAACATCTGGACACAACCTTGGCTCTTTTTTGATCAGCGACTACGTCCAATTGGACCCCCTCCTTTGTTGGCGAAAGACCTTTGTGTCTCTCAACTTATCGATGGTAATACAAAGCGATGGAAACAGAAAATTAGTGAGTATCTCCCTGCCTACGAAGAAGTTATTTGCCGAATCACCTTGGGAACTGCTCGAAGTATAGATAAGCAGGTTTGGCTTCCCTTGAAGCGAGGTGCATACACAACGAGATCGGGTTATGGAATATTAGTGATACAAGATATCCCTCCAAATTTTCTCCAATTCAACTGGCAAAGAAACGTATGGAGAGTAGCCACCCTGCCTAAGATCAAGAGTTTATTATGGAAGGCCTTGGTTGGTGCATTACCGGTGGGAATTTTATTGCTTCAACGAGGTATAGTGAATGATGACTCATGTAAACGCTGTGGTGCTCTGGAATCTGTTACACATGTGTTGAGAGATTGTCCTTTTTCCATCAAAGTATGGAGTTTATCCCCTTTTTTGGGGCCGATATCGCGGCATGGAGACTGCTTCTCCTTCCTCTCTGTTTTGAAAAACTTGAAAGTCTCTGATCAAATTGGAATCATAGCAGCTGCACTTCACGCTTGGACCTTGTGGAACATTTGGACTGCTAGGAACCACCTTCTCTTCACAGAGACTGCCTACTCAGAAGAAGACATAATCGCTAAATCAATCTCCGAAACGAAAACTTGGCAATCGGCTCATGCATCTTTGCCTCATCAAGTCGATTCTCCTCTGGAAGAACCTCAAATCCGGGATATCACCTCTGGATTCGTTTGCTATGTAGACGCAGCTGGAACGCTGCCTCGATGAATTGCGGTTTGGGATGGGTTCTTCATTCCGTTGAGAACTCCTCTGTTTTAACTACATCAGACTCATGTGTTGCGGTTTCATCAGCTCTCGTCGCTGAAACTAGGGCCATGATGTCTGCGCTAACCTATGCTATTGATATGGGTTGTTATAACATCACCGTGAGATCCGATTCCCAAACTCTAATCCGGCTCCTCAACTCCAACGAAACACATCTTGACGTTGATGTTCTCCTCGAGGACATTTGAGAGATTGTTGTATTTTTCAAATCCATTGTATTTGAGTTTGTACCTCATACCTCTAATGTT